GGATGAGATGTCCTCAGAGATGGAAGGGAGAGATTCAATGTCTCGCTTACGACAAAGCTTTTGGCAGTACCCACCAGGGCCTACCATGCAGCACAGCCATATATCATCCCGCTCTTCGAGGAAAGATGAGGTGTCCTCGGAGTTAGAAGAAATGGATTCATGACCGACAGGTACTGCGATGCCTCGCTTGGAACTGGCAGGAGTTGAATCTTTATCGGAATTCGCCCTACACCACCTGACGCACGTGCGCCCGGAATGCGTGCAACATCTGAGCGTAGACGTGGAATCAGGGTCGCGCTTGTTGGGAGTAGATGAGGTTTCCTTGTCGTTCGCACATTTCTTGAAGCATACACCCCAGACAAAGAAGCAGCACTTATCGCTGCTAGTAGAACGGTCGTCGCGTTTGCGGAGAGTAGATCCAGCATGCTCGTCCTGTGAAGAAATAGAATCAGGGATGAAGGAAGGGTCGACTTTAATGCCCAGGCACATGCACTCTGCGTATTCACAGCATCCAGGTACGCCGAACCTAGCACCTTTCGCTCCGCAATACTTGAAGACAGAGCAAAACGGAGGATCGCCGACGCATTGCAGGATAACGTTGCCTTGCTTGCCGCACACCTTGTAGCCTTGAAGTGTGTATTTCCTGTAGTCAAGGGCTGCTGAAGAGGTATCACGAGGCGTGACACCGGCGGCAGGGGAGTTAGAGTCGTTAAGAGCGGACGCACATGTACACTGCCCGTCAGAGCAGCAACCGGGCTTCCCGAATCTGTTGCCGTCCTTTCCGCAATATTTGAGAACCGAACAGAATGGAGGATCGCCAACGCATTGCATGACACAGTGTCCGTCGCTGCAACATTTGAAGTAACCTTGTGTGTTTGGGAAATCGGGGATAGTTGTAGACTCGCCACCTCGGGAGATGACTTCTACAACCTCGCCATTGCGAGGGCTGGAGGGAGTTACAACCGCCGAATGCTTGTCCTTGGACTCGGACTACATGTACCTATTAGTATGTGACTGGCAAAGACATGCTAGAGACCTCAAAATGGAAATTGGCGTAACGCTACCGCTTCATCGACAAAACCTAAAAACAACTCATACAGTCGCCCAGGAAGAAGAGCAGCGGAATGCAAGGACGAGAAATCCTAGCGGCTATATTCGACTCTAAAGAAGGTGGAAAACCTATAGACAAGACTTACATCTCCGTGAGGGCATCCGCAGTAGGCCAGCGAGGCTTCTACACGGCCTTTAGGATGTTCGTACAGCTCACCACCGAGACTGCAACAAGGGCACTGGGCTGAGATTTTCCATGTGCCGGCGAGGTCGCAAATCTTGACGAACATGAGACCCTTGTTACTGCCTTCACACGTGTACCAAGCAGGGCGGCAATGATCAGCCAGACAAGTGGCGTTGTTTGGGGCCTTGTTGGAATCGGAAGGGAGATTTGGACTACTGTCCTCATTGACAGGCTGAGGTAAACCCGCCGCCGCACCGACGAGGCCCCAAAGGACCACGCTAGTCAGCGCGAGAATCTTCATGATGGCGAAGGGCGAGCAGAGCCTGGTATCCCGAAATCGCGGTCAGGAGGAGCGTTTGACAAAAGTAAGAGAGTGTGAAAGGAAGAAGAGTGAGTAGAGGAGTGTTGTTTTTGAGAGTGGGGGTGTAGAAGGAAGGAGGAATGGGAAGAGGAAGAGCGGTCGAGGCGGAGGGAGGTGAAAGGTGAAGTCACTCGCGTCCTCAATCGAAGAAACGCGAAATGGGAAGCCATCTCACTTACACACTACTATGTCTACAGCTAGCAGAATCCCGTCAATCAGTCTTTACAGTCAGCCTTCACCCCCAACTATCAAGCACCAAGCAGGCGAGGACAACTTACTATGAGCTTGCAGAGAGACACCGCAGAGTGGTACCGCAACGTAGAAACACCGAACCTCGAATGGCAGACGAAGATTTCAGGGCCTAAAGAGTGAAAGGTGTGAGTGTGAGCAGGAAGAGGAATTTAGAGCGGTGGGTGAGCATAAACAGACTAATCGGCTGCCCTGACGTATGTAAACTTGCCAAGACCTACAATCAAAGGAGTGGTGGATGCTCTGACCGCAGAACAAGTTCTCATGCGACCTCCAAACACACGCGCACTGCTCGAGACCGGGCACCGGGCGCGCGATTGCGGAGAGTTGGGGACGTTTGAAGTTGCAGCGCGTGGTCCTCACACTCAAGGCAAGTGGAATTTTCAGAGTAGAGCAGTTAGGTGCAGGGCTGGAAAGAGGAAGGGAGGGAAGGAGGCGGGGTGGAGGAGGAAAGAGGGCAGGGGGAACTGAGATCGAAGCAACCAGAAAGGTAATAGCAACGAGCCACCCATTACAAGATGAAGAAGTTCACCAATAGGAATTCGCAAGAGAGCACAAAAACTAAAGGTGCTGTTCACAGCAGATTCTACTCGTGGTGAGAAATAAATAAACACATATATAACCACACAGAAAAGCGTAAATGTGCAACGAAATACAGACTCGAGGTTACGAATCGATGTGGTACTCACCAGTAACAAATTGGGACTCAAGGAAATCTTTTGCAGAAAACTCTACTGTTGAAGAAATCTGCTCGTCTATCCCTGAGCTCGATGCCATTCCACATTTACTTGTCCGTCCGGCTACCACCAGTCTATTTCAAACGCCGTCCAATGCTCAAAGTCTAAGATATCATACCCAAAACACAGAACCATCTATGCCTCATCATCGGTGTCGGGGGGTCTCGGAGTATCCTATGGATGTCAGCATAGAAGCGGCACAAACAAGAGCACGGCAATGAAGAAAACATACCTTTGCAGTATTCAACCAATCGATATATCTCAACCTCCTCCTTACCTCCCTCTCCTTCAACTGCGCCCTCGTCATCTTCTTCTTTTTCTTCGCCTTGAACTTCATGTCATCTCCCTTGCCCTCGGCCTCCGACATGACCGGTGTGCCTGTCGTGCTGGGATTGGCAGATGAGACATTAGAGCTCGCCACACTGCTTCCAGGACGTGAGTCTTCGAAGCGGTCCATTGACACCGCTAAATGCCCCTTGTGCGTAACACGACCCTCGGCAACGTGCCATTGTTCAGGGCACAGCGCACCAACGAATTCTTCATTATGGGAAATCATGATGACGCCACCCCTGTAGTCACGAATGGCAACTGCGAGACCACCGAGGGAGTCGCGATCAAGGAAATTGGTCGGTTCGTCTAGAACGAGGAGATGAGGGTTATTCCACATGGCCCCAGCTTTTGGACGTTAGTCATCAACTCTTTCTCATGCAAGTAGGGTCATCAAATGAAAGAAACGTACCAAGCACCACCTTAACCTTCTGTCCACCAGAAAGACCAGAAATCTCGTTATGATTCGCAATTTCTGGGTCCATCCCTAGATCCTCGAAATGCTTCGAGATGACTTTAGGCTCCAAAACACGATAGCCAAGACCCTCGCGAGAAGCCTCATGATCATCAAACTCCTGGACCAGCTTCTGGAAGCCTCTGGCAAGTAGGGTTTCACGCGAAATCATAGTGTTGAACTTCGGTAGCATGTTCAACCATTTAACCTCATACTGATAACTCTTCTTGTACTTTTGTCGACCAATCAAGGCCTCGATCTTACGAGGACCTTTGCCATCACCAATATCAATTGGCGTCTCCATCTGCGCCTTGTCTGCGTCTGTTAAGATACGCGTCTGCTTCATCAGCACTTCGCGGTCATCGCCGTTGGCATAACGCCACTGAAGATACTGATTTGGCGTCTTCTCCATGTGCATTTCGACATGCTCAAGAGCATGTTGCTTGATGTAACCGATGCGGAGATTAGGGTGCTTCTCGACCTTCCCATCCTGCGGAATAACTTCGCCAGTGAGGATCTTAATGAGCGTCGATTTACCGGCACCATTTGCACCGATGATGGCAACTCGAGAAGAAAGCGAGAGAGAACAGGACGCGTCAAAGAGCGAGGGCTTCGATGATCCAGGATAGGTGTATGTACAGTTGGTCATGCGGAGGATGGATCGCGTGTTCGACTTGACTCCGGTAAGTATGCCTGGAGGAGGGAACTTGAACTGAACATTAGATGATGAGAGAGTGTAGTAGCTCTTGCCTTCTGGCTTGACTTTGACGAAATCTGCCAAGTTACCCTTGTAGCAGACAAGTTTCTTGTTCTCGTAGTGGTAGATGTCGGTACAGACCTCATCCAGGAATCCAGAGTCGTGAGAAACGATCAAGCTGGTGATCTCGGTGTGCGACTTCAGGTACTCCTGGAGCCACTTGACGTTTGCAACATCTAAATGGTTAGTAGGTTCGTCGAGAAGCAAGACGTCCGCTCGCATAAGCATGGCTCGGGCTAAAGCTAGCTTCATCTTCCACCCACCAGACAAAGAGCCAACTTGGTTTGACTGCCTGCCTTCTGGCCCGGCAGTAAATCCGACTTCTTCCAACACTTGAGAGATGCGTTCCTGGCTCTCGTCCCTGAATCGTGGATCTCTCGAAACGAACTCGAGAATGCTGAGATCGGCATCCTCGCCTTGGTTATGCTCAACAAAGCATGTCTTCACTTCGTCAGGTGGCGGAAAACCCTCGAGCTTGCCCTCGGCAATACTTCTCATCAGCGTGGATTTACCAGCACCATTTCGACCACAGAGCCCGTATCGGTGACCCTTTAGAAGTCGAAGATTTGTGTGTGACAGCAGCAACATGCCACCATAGCCGAGGGAAAAAGTTGCATTGACGATCTCGATTTCGCCATCGTCTTCCTTGATTGGCTGGCCGAATTTTCGGTGATCCTCTTCCACATAGAATTGGTGCACTCCCTCCGTAACCTTGGTAGAGTCGCCAGGGTTCATTAATGGGTCTAGATAGGGCGCAATGAGTTGTGGAATGCGTTGCATCTCTCGTTGATTCACAACCTCTGCAACCATTTTAGAAACGTAATTCTTCGCAAGAGCCCAAACCTCGGCATCTCCAGGGAAGTTCTGCAGATGTCCAACCAGGGCAACTTGTTTCTCAATCGTCTTCGACACATCGGATCCCATGGTACGTACGATAGCGCCACTCTCGATGTTGCCATCTTTATCCGCCATGGCCTTCTCGAGAACGTCTAACGCTCGCGCTGCAATCTCACGGACTTCGGGCAAAGAAGCGCGGTCCTTCACTGCTTTGACACCGGGCTTCAGCTTTGGCAGAAAAGCACGAGCCTCGATGGGGTCATGGACAAGCTTTGTCAAGTTCTCGACGACAACAACTGTTTGTCGAAGAACTTCCTGGGATGTGGATGGGGTATTCAGAGATCGCTCGAGAAGCGGGGTAACGACAGCCAATACGGGGGAGGTGACGATTGCAACGAAGGTGGTTTGCGAAAGAGCATGAATAGCTTTCTGCAGACTCTGTGTAGAAGGGTCTTCCATGGATTTGATGAGGAGAGGTATCCGAGGAGCGACATCGTCGTTTTGGAGGAGTGTTGTGAGACCGTTCATCGTCTTGACAGCTTGCTTCGCGACCTAGATCCGAGTCAGCGACCCTCTCGTTTTGCTATGAATATAGTTGAACTCACCTCATTCTTGAGATCGTGCATGCCGCCCTCAACGACCGGAATCAGCCCCTCCAACCGCTTCCCCATCGCTTCCCGCAACACATCCTTCTCCTTCTCAACCTCCAAACTCTCCATCCCCATCTTCGCCTTATCCGCCATGCGACCTAGAAGCTCGAACGCGCCAACCGCGCCCTGCCACTTCCCTGACTTCTTACCCAGGTACTTCACCAGCAGTGGCAGAAGCCCAAAGACCTTGGCCTCAGGCCCCAAATTTTCAAACAGAGCATCCAGAGCGTATTTTGAAGACTCTCTAACAGTTGGAGTCTTATCCGCCAAAGCATCAAGCGCCAAAGGAACCAGCCCCTCTTCTTGAACCAGAAGCACCACCTCTCCCAGCCTCTGTGCCAGCGGGAACCGCTCGAAGAGGGCGCCGAGCGCGTTCATGGCGCCTTCTCTCCGCACAGGGTTCTTCTTGTCCCCGGCAGCCTTCTTGATCTCGTCGAGGATGCCATATCCCCTGAGTCCCCGAAAGCCGACCGAGTTCTGGAGGAGCGTGGTGAGGCCATACGAGGCTTCTACAGAGGCATGTGAAGTTTTGCTCGCGAAGATCGCACTCAGTATTGAGGAAATCTCGTCTTGCGAGGGCGGGGGAGCGGCACCGGCTTTATTGACGATGATAGCGGGGGCCATGGGAGGTGATTCGTGGTGGGGCATTTCCCACCTGCGGGGTGTGTGCGGTTCTCGATCTCAGTATCGAAACAAGAAATCTGTCGCCTTTGAGGGTTTCTTCCTTATCGATATGAAGGCGGTGGGTGATTTCGTTTAACCCTTCGCATGCGGGTGAGATTAATACACGGCTACACTCAAAGAGGACACTCTGTCGCTCGAAATTCGCTCGAAGCAGAGACTTTCTAGACCTGAGAAAGAGTGGAGAGCGCGGGAAGAAGTACAAAAGAAAAATAGGTGGGCGAAGGGCGAAAAGCAGAGAGAAAGAAATATTAAAGTTGGGCTCGGTGTGAAATTATTTCTGTCTCCTTGGCTGACTGATGCACCTTCCAAGAAACTTCGGCTGGCCACTCGGCGGGGCCGGCAGTGCACGTTCCTTGACACGACACTAATCCGCTCTAGGCTGTAAGGCTGAAGATTCACGCTTGTCTCTCCTCTATAATTTATGCCTGATGTCTGCGTCCTAATAGAGTTCCCCCGAATTCTTGAAAGAGGTTTAACTAATTTGAACCCACTCTATTTACTTGCCGTGGCGTGGGCTAACAGAGTGCAAGCTTGCAATAGTTATGCACATGTCTATATGATACCTGCAGGTGCGATGCATGTCCATACAAATATACTTCTGTATTTCAGTAAGAACTAGTCAAGGATATCAACACGTCTAAAGTAGCAGACACCATTCGCCATTGAGATTACCAACGCCCCACTCACTCACACGATCCCACCCTACCATTTGTCCTGCAATGGTAAATTCCGACTCGAAAACCCAACTTGAATCCCAAACTCTCCCTCAGTCGGCATAACCCAATTCTGCCTCCTCACATCCCAATAACTCAGATCTTTCCTCGTCACCTCAAAAACCACCATCTTGCTATTCCCGCCTCCTCCATGAGGGCTCCCTTTGACACCTGGCACTGGGCCTTGCTTCCCCGCCTCAACGTGAACTTTTTCAAACCCGCGAAGAACTCTGACGGGGAAGTCAACTGGCTGCCCAGTCTCGGGATCTTTGTAGTTCTGCGGAAAGGCGATGTAGAGCTGGACCACGCAGTCTCCGTCTACAAGACCAATGTTGGTGACTGAGGCGGAGACGGTAAGGATTTTGGAATAGAGATCAGGGTTTCCACCTTGGGCGCCGCCGGCTTCGCTGAGTGGACTTTGAAGCATGTTCGTCTGGATTTCGGGGTGTTTGATGCCGTCTGTAGAAGAAAGATAGGGGTAGATATACTTTGACAGTTTCCTGAATCCAGGTGGGAAGAGCGCCGTCTTCGGGTCTGGAATATCAGTTGAGTAGGTTGGAGGTTCGATACCTGAAGGGCGAGGTGCAGGCAGAGGCGTCTTGGGACCGTGAGACGTAACGAGGAGAGAGGTGAGATGGAATGTGGTGTACGAGAGACCATAACCGAACTCATAGCGCGGAGCAATGTCCTTCTTGTCGAAGTAGCGGTAATCGATATACAGGCCTTCGCTAAAGTTCTGCTGAGGAACCAGTCCATTGGGGTAATACAGGATCTTGCTTCCTGGCCCATAGTCATCTTCTTTCTTCGCAATGGTATAAGGCAGGCGGCCTGACGGGTTGATATGTCCGAATAAAACGTCGACAAGCGAGTTTCCTGATTCTTGGCCCGGGAGATTGGCAATCAAGACTGCCTTGACGGTTGGCTCATCGATCCAGTTCTCCAAGATTACTGGGCCGACAGTGTGAATGACGACGATGACTTTGCCGTGCCCTGCACCGCAGCTCTTCGCAACACCTTTCACAAGCATGTCGCTACCCTTTTGGAGGTAGAGATCGTTGCGGTCGCCGTGAGTGGTCTCAAAGCTCATATATCCCTCCCCAGCATCTGCGTTTGCAAAAACAATGCAGATATCCTGCTCTTCAATAAGAGTCTTATCCTTTGGTAACTTATTAGAAGGGAAGTCGACCACATAGACGGATTCATTATTGAACGCTTGTCGAAGGGCCCAAAGAGGTTCAGTCAGATATGGGTAATCCACGGCGCCAGATCCCCAGCCCGATGCTAGTGTGCCCACGTTACAACCCCTGTCTTTGCATGCGTTTATTCCATCTTGATTGACACGGGAGTCCTCGCCAAAGACACCAACACGGTACTTAGTGACCTTGCCAACCTTTTCTTCTTCTTTCCACCCATTGCGAACCAGTGGAAGGAGATTATCGTCATTCTTTACCAGAACAGTTCCCTCTGCAGCCACTTGGCGAACCAAGTTTCCGTGAAAGTCATCGCCCTCTCCTTGGACGTTGATGAACTTGTTGACTACCCCTGTCGTTTTATCCGTACTTCCAGGATGAAGCAAGCCAATCTCTTCATCCGTCCAGGATGAGAAGTTTGGCCCACCGTCGCCGTCAGGAGGCTGGAGTGGCCATTTCTCTGTGTCGTCCTGCCCGACTTGATACCAGGCCGCAACGACACGGGTGGCCATATCATTGAGTCTTTCCATAGGTATGCTACCATTCAAAACTGCTTTTGTGAGCTGAGCGCCCCAAAGGGATTTCCCATCCGCCCACTTCAGGCCATCTCCAGGCATCGTCATGTCGAGCCCTGCTAAAGAGCTGGCAACACCACTTCTTTGCGCCAGCCAATCGCTTTGAACAAATCCTTGAAATCCAAGTTCATCCTTGAGGATACCATTCAAGAGCTTGCTGTTCTGGCACGCGTAGCTGTTATTGACTTGGTTATACGAGCACATAATCGAGGCAACACCCGCCCGAACCGACTCGGCGAAGGGCCAAGCATAAATCTCGTGGGTGGTCCGGTCATCGATGTTGCTTGAAATGGCATTTGGCGGACCCCATTCCCAGGCCTGTCTAAAGTGTTCCTGTTCGTTTAGAAGATAGTGCTTTGCCGTAGCCATAACACCTTCGTCTTGAATGCCTTTGATCGTCTGCGCTGCTGCAATGCCCTGTAGAACAGGGTCAGGACCAAACCCTTCCCAGGTTCTACCACCAGCGGGCATTCGACCCAACGGCCCCATCGCCGGTCCCAGCAGCACATTAATGCCCTTTAGTCTTGCTTCTTTCCCATGTGCTCTCCCCCTTTTATACATCAAGTCCTTGTTCCACGTAGCTCCGACCGTAATCCCTGCGGGGAACGCCGTGATGTTGTCTGCGAATCGTAGGCCTAATGGGCCGTCTTGCAAGCAAAGACTCGGGAATTTAAGGCGCGGCACCGGGGATGTATTTCCGACACACATTTCCATGCTCCATCCAGTGCCGGTAGTAATATTAACCTTCTCCACCAACGTCATCTGTTTCACCAACTCCGCAGCCTTCCTATAGCTCTCTTTCCACTTCTCGTCCGTCCCTCCCTTGGGCGTGGGATACCACGGCGGGCTCAGCCCATCTTTAGGTGCGCTTTTCCACGCCCAAATACCTCCCGCCGAAAGCAACAGCACGGTAGCTGCCACAAAAAGCAGCACCAGGAAGCAGCACAGCCGGCTCGGCGCCCACCTCCTCTTCACCTGCACCTTTTCCGCAAATTCAGCATCTCTGAAGGATGCCTTCCGCGCTCGCAGATCCCCGGTGCTCCGCTTCTGCTTCAATGTTCCGGCATCGTAGTTCAGAGGGTCGAATTCGTCGAGGTCTTCGTACGAGGAGGCGTTGGAGTCGAAGGAGCGGCGCGTGGGCGTGTCGAAGTCGTCGCCGTCGGCTGGGGCGTCCAGTTTGGCATATTTGCCTCTGCGGAGTTCGTAGGATTCTGGCGGAGGCATTGTATACTTGATAAAAGAATGCGAAAAGTGAGAGGTGAAGTTTGGGGGTGCAGCGTTTGAAACAGAGGGAGCTCGGTGCCCTGGCGTTGGTTCAAGGATGACGACACATGAGGCGTGGTAGCTGTGAATGAAACACGCAACGAGGCAGTGGACAGCAAGACGCCGCAGAGCAAGAGACGTTAGTCCGGTGGGCGTCGACGAAGATGTACGAAGTCGTTACGGCAGCAGCAGTCGACTTTCATCTTTCATGCTCCCAGCCCCTGCATACATCGACCAATCAGGGAACGCCCCTGAACATCTATCGTCGCGCCCCGAAACACTTTCCCCACTGCCGCTTTCACCTCCTTCAGTTCTAAGTCCAGCATACTATGACATATCGCGGAGCATAGTTAGGGCGGGCATGATCTATTGCCCTCTCACTAGGATTGGGCTAAGTGTTAAGAACATGCTAGTTTCTGTCTTGAACCAACCTGTTCTCATGTTCCGTCCCCATGCTTCATCCCATGTTCAGTCCTATGTGCCAACGTGCAGTATTCACAACAGGCAAGATGGGATGGAAGCTAAGTCGTGTCTAGCATGTCTCATTTATAGAAATCTTTTGTATGACCCAAACGCTCTAACCGTAGTATATACAAACAGTGTAACAACCCTTCACCTCTACGGTCAAACCCCGGTTCTCTACGCGGCGACTTGGTCCAGAATACCCTGAAGGTTGATGCTCTTGGGACGCTCAATCGGAAGACCCAATGCTCTGTCCCAGATAAGCTGTGCGAGCGGTCCGAGACCACGGCTGACACCGAAAGTGGCCGTGTAGTAGAGAGTCTCCTTGAAGCCGTAGTGGTGGAAGAGGACACCCGAGGAGGAGTCAACATTAGGGAAGGGATTCTTTGTCTGACCATCACATTAGCATTAAGACAGGAGGCTGATATAGGCTAGTAGTTACTCACCTTTCCATGCTCAGTCAAGACACCCGGAGCGACCTCAGAATTCTTCTTCACAAGCTGGTAGACTGGGTCACTCGCAATCTCGGGTCGAGCATTAGCAAAGTCCATCAAAGCCTCGAAACGGGGATCAGGCTTTCTCAGCACAGCGTGTCCATATCCAGGAATCACACGGCCCGACTTCAGGACACTCCAAAGATAGTTTGTCACATCAGACTCGGAGAACTTGTTACCAACAGCCTTCTGCATATCCAAGATGAAGCGGAGCACTTCCTGAGCAGCCAGACCGTGAAGCGGCCCAGCAAGACCCTGGAGACCGGCACTGTAACTAAGGTAGGCATCGCTCAGGGCGCTGCCGACCAAGTGAGTGGCATGGGCGGAGACGTTGCCACCTTCATGGTCGCCGTGGAGGGCAAGATACAGGCGGAGGAGGTCCTGGAAGCCTTCGTTCTCCTTTCCAGCCTTGCCCAACATGGCAGCGAAGTTGTACGACCAATCTTGATTCAGATCGATCTCGGCTGGCAAGGCACCTCCACCACGATACGCGTTCTGGTAGATCTTAGCGGCGATGGTGGGGAGTTTAGCGAGAAGACTGATGCAGTCATCGAAGGTAGGCTCCCAGTAATCGGCCTTGTGCAGGCCCTTCTCGTATGCCTTTGCAAACTTGGACTCATAGTTCAATGCGGAGACGGCGCAGGCGAACTGGGTCATGGGATGGAGGTCCTTGGGAAAGTCATCGAGCATCTTCTCAACGAACTTGGGAATGCTAGCCTTCTCGGCCAATTCCCTTGACAGAACGCGCGTCTGAGAAACTGAGGGGACCTCGCCGGTAAGCAGAAGCCAGAACATGGCCTCGGGAAGCATCTCAGTGCCAGAGGTGCCTTTCGGCAACTCCTTCTGGCAGTCCTTGATGGTGCGGCCATGGAATCGGATACCCTCGTTCGCGTCAAGGACTGAGCCTTCCCAGACCATAGCTTTCAGCCCTCTACAAACTTATCAGCATGTGGGGTGCGGAGTCGGTCACGTGAATCCTACCTCATTCCGCCCAAGGTGTTTTCCACCTTGACGTCTCCGAGTTTCTTGTCGGAATGGGCCTTGACCTTGTTCAATAGCTCGCGTTTCGCGGGTAGCACTTTCTTAAATGTTTCCTTGAGATCCGGCTCCGAGGACGAAGAGTAGCTGCATGCTTGCACTGAGCGGGACTCAATTAGCAATGTTTGGGGTGAAGCAGATAGCAATTGCATACCAGAAGCCAAAGGCCGCACAACAGAAGGCTGCAAAAGGTCCAATTAGCCCCTACTACTGTTGATTTATTGCATTTAGCCCACCTTGAGCGCTCGCAGAGCTCTCGAAGCTGTTCGTGAACTCAAAGCCATAGCTTTGGGTGAATGAGGGGCAGCAGGGGTCTGATGGCGGGGAAATATGCAGCAATTCTTCGTCCCTTGGGTCCAAACAACAAGTTAAAGGGACTCGCGGGTCGGAGGCAGATTTAAGAAAGACGCTTAATGAGAAGCCGGCGGCAAGATTCGGCGACACGATTTCACGAGGCGTTGACGCTCCGTTGATGCGACTTGGAATGTCTTCGCAGCCCCTCGGCAAACGTCCGAAGCGGCCTAGAGGAGCTGGCTATCCTCGGCCCGGCACGTTGAGGAGAAAGTTATCCCAGCAAAAGGCGTCCACGATGCCACGCACATTCGCCAATCTGACGATAAAATCCTTCTCACGGCCGCGGGTGGGAAGTCTTGTGCTGAAGCCGCATCGAGAAGCTTTTCGGGTGGCAAACACCAACACCGAAAAACTCTCCGCTACCCCATTGAAGCCAGTCAGTGACTGCTTATGATTACCAATACTCGCCGCTAGATATTCCTCCATGAACCTTTAAGAATCTTGCACAGTTTGCTGGGCTTCACTTCTTCACGTACCCTAGAGCAATGTTCCGAACAGTGTCGCGATCCGTTGCGCGGCAGAGTCGATCTCTAAGGGGATCAAGCCGAACACTGCAGCTCCTCCGACCCCTCTCTACCACCGCTTGTTGCATGTCGAACTCAACACTCAAGCCTGTAGATCCTCCTGTGTCCTCAGCACTGCATGGTGACTCGTTCCAGCTGCTCTCGGAGGCGTCAAAGGCGGGGCAGGCCGAGGATGCCCTCTTCGATGCACAGGTGCAGCAGGTGAGGGACTGGTGGGCAACGCCGAGATACAAGGACATCAAGAGGCCGTACTCTGCGGAGGATGTGGTCAGCAAAAGGGGAACGCTGCAACAGACATACCCGAGCTCGTTGATGGCGCGGAAGCTCTTCAACTTGTTCGAGGAGCGGGCAGCGAAGGGCGAGCCCGTCCATACAAGTGCGTTCTACACTTTACTATCACATAGCTCCATAGCATGCCAATGTACTAATAATCCTTCTCCGAATACCAGTGGGCGCCATTGACCCTGTGCAAATGACCCAGCAAGCTGCGAACCAAGAAGTTCTCTACATCTCCGGGTGGGCTTGTTCATCAGTCCTCACTACGACGAATGAGGTCTCTGCAGATTTCGGAGACTACCCCTACAACACCGTGCCGAACCAGGTACAACGATTATTCAAGGCCCAACAGCTACACGACCGCAAGAACTGGGACAACCGAAGGAAGATGAGCTCAGAAGAGCGCGCCAAGACTCCGTACCTCGACTACATGCGTCCCATCATTGCAGATGGAGACACCGGGTATGCGTAGACCGGCTACGTCCCAAGATTATGTGATTGCTAACATTTGCTCCAGCCACGGCGGTCTCTCAGCCGTCATCAAGCTCGCCAAACTTTTCGCTGAGAACGGCGCCGCCGCTGTACACTTCGAGGACCAACTCCATGGAGGCAAGAAGTGCGGTCATCTCGCCGGAAAGGTGCTCGTACCCGTTGGCGACCACATCAACCGCCTGGTCGCAGCAAGATTTCAATGGGATATGATGGGCTGTGAGAACCTCGTCATTGCCCGAACCGACTCTGAGAGCGGAAAACTGATCAGCAGCGCTGTCGACGTTCGGGATCACGAATTCATCATGGGCGTGACGGAAGAGACGGACCCACTAGCAGAAACGTTGCAAACCATGGAGTTAAGCGGTGCGCCAGGGAAGGAGATTGACCAGTACGAGGCAGCGTGGGTGAAGAAGCATAAGCTTGTCACCTTCGATGAAGCTGTCATAGGCCATCTAGAAAGTGAAGGCGCATCCCAATCATCCATCGACGCCTTCCTGAAAGAAATGAAAGCCAACCCCAATCTATCTCTCCTCAAGCGCCGCAAGATCGCAGACACATACACCAAATCCCCAGTTTACTTCAACTGGGACATCCCGCGGACCCGCGAGGGCTTCTACCACTACAAGGCTGGAATGGCTGCTGCGACCAAGCGTGCTAAAGAATTCGCGCCTTACGCGGATCTTCTATGGGTTGAAACCGCGGACCCTAACGTGGAGAAGGCCGCTGGTTTCGCGGGCGAAATTAGAGAGAAATACCCAGGGAAGAAGTTTGTGTACAACCTCAGCCCCAGCTTCAACTGGATGGGGCAGGGTTTCTCAGAAGACTCACTCAAGAGCTTTGTGTGGGACTTAGCCAAACATGGGTACGCCAAGCCCTGTCCCAAATGACGACTCAGCTGACGAGCCCCTAGATTCGTCCTTCAACTAATCTCCCTCGCGGGCCTACACTCCACAGCAACAATAACGTGCGAGCTCTCCCGTGACTTCAAGGAGAAAGGTATGTTAGCCTACGTTAATCTCGTACAAGCACGCGAAAAAGAAATCGGCTGCGATGTCCTCACACACCAGAAATGGAGCGGTGCGGGCTATATTGATGGCATTTTGGGCTCGATACAGAGTGGAAGTAGTGGGAGTAAGAGTATGGGGGAAGGAAACACTGAAACTGGTAAGTTTTGATCTGACTCTAGGTTGTAGGTTTTAGATACGGGCTAACGGTTTGTGATAGGGTTTTAGGTAGTTGTATGAATAGTAAGATTAGAAATCGCCGTTTATTTGTGCAGAAAACTTAATTGGCATGAGAAACCGTGGTGACGGTGCACTCCTGCTACTAGCCTCACAAATCGCTTGTTTTTCCGGCGAATTGAGCAGAACCGACCAACGAGTAGAGCACTTTCATCTGGGCTGTTCCTTCCACCCTTGCCACATGTAAGCTCCTTCCCTTTCTGAACTTCTTAGATTTTCCTGTTGCTTTTATTAGAAAAGTGAACAGAGAGCTACCGATAAAGGTAAGGTTCATAGGTCTCAGGTCTGTATAATTTAACAGCGGCAGAGTAGAAAGACCTCGTGGTATGCCTTATACGGCAATATAGAATCTTTAGGTGACTGGATTTCTACTTTCCATTAGTCGTGGCACCTTAGGACTTGCTCTGACCCTAACAACGGCATCGATACTCTCGTTCCATTAAATAGTTTTGCTGAATTTAGAAATTAAAAACCACTCCGCCTTTATTAATGTCTTGGTTCCATGAGAAATAGTGCTAGTTTCCTCCAGGGCAACTCGCACATGTGGAACATTAGCAACTTCATACATTTTACCTCAAACGCGACACTACCCTAATCTGTGAGTAGTGGATCAATTTCTGCAAAAGATCAAAGCAAGTTCTACCGATTCTCGAACCGGTTAGCTCGGTCTAGCTCGATTGCAGATGATAGAGAGACGGTCTGAGAAATAACAACGAAGAGAGCGAGGATGCGGGATATGATAATCATCCCCATCGTATACGAAGGTATGCGTTCATTTTAAGTATCGTCATCCTCATTAACCCACTTAGTAGAATTCCGTTTGCCGTTCTGTTGAATCGGGGCCGTCATCATGTCTGCGGTGCCTTTCATTAATCCGTCCACCCCACGAATCTATTCTGGAATGGTAGCGCAGCCGTCCTAGAGCTTAAAAGGTGTTCTATTGACCTCAGTACCAATCATTTGTGTGACCCTTTCTGACAGAACATCGAGCGAGTTGGGTTGAGCTACACGCGTATAAGAACGAGCTACGGAAGTAGGCGAGGAAAGCGTGATGTCACACCAAGAAAGTATGCCGTTAACACAAAGTCAGAGCCTTATGAAAATCCTTTCATTTAGAAAGCATCACTCAGCGAGCATAAAGAAAATGCCTGGCTCACTAAATCTTACTCCAATAAATTACCCTTGTCCCCCTTTTCCCTTTAATTTCTATATTGCTTATGCCTAGTCATTTGGCGTTTGAAATTGTGGTCTATGATTTTCAGGACTATCAGACTAACAGTTGATCAGACATTGGAAGTGTATGCTGATGAATTAGAATTACTTCGTCGCATTAATTTTGATATTAATCAAGTCTGACTGGCGCAAACAAACGTCATCCCACCAACAACAATCTCCGAAACGGCTACTATAATCCCTACCTCCTCCAAGAAAAATGCAATTTCAATAACCAAAAGGATGATGACATAACTGTGCATCAGTTACAGGGGCTAGGAACCACCGCTATAGTAGTGACGAGAAGTTATGGGATGATTAATGGGGGAAATGGATTCTCAAAACTGCTAGGATTCTCGAACACATACAGAGTAACCAGCATGAATTAAATCACCAAAAGTGTTTAAAGACTTCTTGCAGCGCACTAGAAGGCTATCTACAGAGATTTGGAGCGGGCTCTTCCGGGAATGATGCATTCCTGTTAAACATATTGCAGGACAAAGGGCCACCTACAGATCCGTTGGTTCAATATGGCACTGTGTTCTCCCGAAAGTCCGGGAGGGAGGGATATTTTGTTGTTATTGATCCAAGAACAACAAGATGTACCTGTTGTCAGCGAATTTGGAATGGGACAGATGTCACGGACGAGGTGGAGAGAGCGCCAAGCGTCATACGGTTTGAGCTTGCTAAACTTGTGGTCTTCGATGTAAAACCTAATGTGGAGAAGTGGCCATTTCTGCCTGAGTCAGTCAAAGAAGTTTTCGAAGAGGCTGCAGAAGAGGCGAGCGGCACAAGCGGGTTTATCCACCCACTTACGCAGTCCTAAGAGTACTATGGGGCTCTGATCTTCAGAGGACATCCCAGATGGAAGATATAATTACAAATAAAAGCATATACCGAACGTGTAGTCGGAGACGAGCATTCTGAGATCATAGGAATTAAGTACTTTAACAGGATTATAAACATCATTATCACAAACGAAGAGATTCCGGCGTAAATAATGACATGAAATCCTAGATGGCCAGTAAGAACTACATCGTTTGCCTTCATTCGTGTTTACGAAGGAACGAGGCTAAGGCCACCTTTGCCGTCTACACGCTCGCGGGAGAAGAAGAAATGGAATGAGGAAAAGCCAAGCTCAATTTGCAAGGCGATACTCGAAAATAAACAAGCAGGATTCTAGTGCTGTGGCTAGAATCTATACTTACATTGTTCAATGTAAATATCAAGAGCATTCAAATAAACGCGGCAATGAACAAAAGGTAAATGCTGTGGCTAGGTCGAGGAGGCAGGGAGGTTTTATGCCTCGGAGTGATCACTTTGTGTTACCTTTCCCTAATGGAAGGAAGATTATACAGTGAAAGAGCAACCCTGAAAAAGCAAAATGGGGCGGGAGTGTTTTCTCGCCATGTCGAAGGCAGAAGAGCTCGTATCGCAACTATATCTCTATCTCCCTCACTGTTGCTTCCTCTCCCTTAATTCCTTCAACAACTCCTTTATTCCTTTCCCATCCTTATCCAACATCGCTTTCGCTTCCGCCATGTCCTCCTCACTCGGCAAATTCACAATCGTCAAATACAAGATACTCGGACTGAGCACCTTTCTCACTCCATGCCCGATCAGGCCGATCGGTCCCCGAATCTTCTGCCTCGGCTCTGGCTTCAATTTCCCATCTTCGCCGACCTCTCGCAACCGTCGCGACCCCAGCGGCTGGGCGATGTACTTGCCGCCCGTGATGAGCGAGAGGAGGTGTCCGTTGTTGCAGGGGTGGTTGGGATCTGCGAAGCGTGAACGGAACTGTGTTTGGGAGGGCGCCGTTGATTGTGTGAGGATGGTGTTTGGATTGTTTCCTGTGTAGGATGCGGCGGCCCGACGGTCGAAATACTCCCCGACGAACTTTTTGTTGCGTTGGAGGCGTGCCTTGAAAGATTCATCCCTGACTACATTCGGCCGTTCCACCAAATCTTCGAGCCCCGGGTAGACAAGTGGTGCGACTTCGAGTGGCATCATTGCTTCACCGGCGGTCCGTCCGGAGGATTCGCGTATTGGCCGGAGGATCTTGGCCTTGGTGGAGACCTCGTGCTCATCGTGGTATGGGTTTTTTGGAAGCCCCCATTTGGAGATGAATTTTGCAGTCTCAAGATTCACCGTCTCGACACCAAAGGCAGGGGCTGTTTCAGTTCCAGGACCGTCGGGCTTGTACATCAAAACCATAGCATAGAGTCCGAGGGGCATGAAGAGTTCTTTATTGACCTGGTCCAGAAAAGCGTTGGCTTTGTAGCGGCCTTGGAGTTCGATCGCGGTGCTGGAGATTGGTTAGTGGGGCTCTGAAGCTTGCTCTGGGGGTTTACCCTGCTGCTAATTGGACAGAGATGGACACTGCAAGCGTTATGACGCCGGGAACAAATCCCACAATGCCGGCAGAGATATAGAGAGCATTTAGCCAGGGCGAGGCTTGCGATGCGGAATGGAAATTCTGGAGAAAGCGGAAGAAGGTATCTTGATCGATACCGAAGGGTGCTAGATCAGGTGGATAGGCTCTCGCGAATCCTCTGGTTTTCGTCCCCGGTCGGCGTTGCGGAATGACAATAGGGTAAGGAAGTTGGCATGCTGGTGAGGGCTGTGCTTGGGACGGCGCTATGGAGACGGTGTCATGCACGAGTTCTGAAATCGTTCTCTCTGCGGCAGGTCGACTATGGGCTTCTGAAGTCTCGTAGTCTGGCGGATCAGCAGCTTCGTCGAGAGCCCAATCTTGCTCATCGCTTTGCACTCTGTCGTCTGGGTCGAGGTGCTCTTGTGAGGTGTTCGGGGGGGAGCCTTGGATAGCGAGCACTGTCTTACGATCCTTGTGATCGTAGTACTTCTCAGCAGCAAGTCCGACTGTGGTGGAGATTCCCTTATTTATGATACCAATTACAAAAGCCATGATAGAAAGGTGTGACTTTAATCAAGGGTATTTGATAAGAAGTAAATAATGAAATCTGCTTTGCTACGGTGAGAATTGAAATGCGCGCGAAAGTGGGGTAGCAAACCCCTTTTATATTCTCTACCACAACCTTGAGGTCGTTAAGGCGGCATACCTCCATCCCCAAACACCTGGATGATTCCTCAAGACAAAACGTGGAAAAAGATCAGGCCTGCGTGGCTTAAACGCCGCTTCTAATATCGCGTAATTGCTTCAGAATGTTTGAACGGACTTTTCGGACGTTGGGTTGGCTGTGCTAATCGGACAAGCCTTGTCAGTCGTTGCTTATCGGCGTTAGCCTGGCTGCGGCCCCAGGAATTGCAAGGTTAAATTTGACTTTCGAGTCACTCCAACCCTTCCACGGCGTATAAAAAGATTACGTAGCGGAGCTGAGCGCGCGGTACCTGGGGTGAAGATAGGTTCAGAGTTGTTAACAATCAATCCAATCAATCCACCTAACAGTAGATTAATTAATTAATAACTTTACATCTGCAGATTAATTAGACAGATTAATAAGCTCTAAGCAGATTAATTAAACAGATTAGATTAATAATATATATAAATAGTAAATTAACTCTTTACATAATTAATCTTTATTAAATTTAAAGTTACTAACATTAAACAACATTGCTAGCTAGCTTAGTAAGTAGCTTAAAGAAATAATAGACCTTATAAAAATTAGTTTCTAAGGCTTAAGGCCTAATCTCTTCTAGCTTTTAAAACTCTGTAGGGCTAATAGTAAATCTAGCTTTATATATAGTCTTTATACTTTAAGTAAGTCCCTAAGCTTTAAGAAGGTCCTCTTACAGTTAGCTGCTACTACTAAGATACTTAGCATGTTAAAGGCAAAGCTTAATAAAGTAAAATAATACTTACTTTTAGTTACTTAGTACTTTAATAGATCTTTAGCTAATAAGTTGCTCTTATTTAAAAAAAGCTCCTTAACTTAGTAATTAAACTTATTATTATTATATTAAGTAGTCTCTGCTACTTACTAGTAGGCAGCTTTTATAAAATTAGCGTAACTAGCTTTATAAGATGTCTAGGGCTTTTTTAGGGGGGGCATTAGATCTAGAGGGGTAATGTGCGTAAAGTCCTTATAGGCTTTCTAGAGTAGCTAAAATCTCTAGTAGGCTTTATCTAACTACCTCTACTAAAGATAGTTACTATATAAAGCGCTGTTATAGTCCTTAGGGACTAGCTATATACTCTTAATGTTGAATGGGCTCCGACAGCTAGCTGCTTATAGTATGAGCACTTAAGTAGCAAGAGTAAGAGTGGTGTACAGTGTGCACAGCGTACAAGGTAGGTAAGGTAAGAGTAACATATTTCTAGTTCTATTGCTCTTGTCTTTCCTCTATACAGAGGAAAAAGGGGATATCTAGATGTTTGCGCACAGAGGTTTGCGCACAAGCATTATGTAACATAGATACGTGATCCTGCTTGTGCGCAATTGTTTGTATCTAGGCCGCAACGCTGCTGCTGTGTACAGACACTAGCAACTTTTCTTTTTGTCTAAAGAGTTGCCTTTTATACGTGTTACCTCCCTTCTGTCTGTGTAGGTCTATCTAATTATGTTCTACCTTTACTCTACCTTATTTATTAAGACTTGCCTTAGTAATGCTATGCATTAAGATAGGCTAGTTATGCTATGTAAATAGCTTTTCTCTTTTTTATCCTTTACTTTCTAAGCCTTGCTATACAATCCCCTAGCTCTTTTCTTTTTTTATACAGTGCTAGCAGTAATAGATCCTTATAATAAAAAAGATAATTATGTATAATACAAAAAAAAAACAAAATAAAATAAAAGAAAATAGGCCTTATATAAAGGTGTTATTAGTCTAGTTAGTCTAAGGCATCTTTGCGCACAGGATCTAGCTAGTCTATAGATGCTTCTATCTAGACAGAGAGGCAGTTAGTTAGAACTAGTAATTAAAAAGCCTAGTTTAGTGTTTTTTTTATACATACATCTACTAAGTTATCTTTACTATTAATCTACTTAATTTTAGCAATTTCCCTTTTCTTATATAATTTATAGAGTAACATAATGTTAATTATAAGTTACTTTTTACTAGTAGTGCCTAGCTTAATAAGGTAATTATATAGAAACTTTAAATCTATGTAGATTACTACTAGGATTAGTAGCAGTTTAAGCATTTATATAATTTACTGTAGAGTTGTACTAAGAGTAATTACATTATTAAACCTTTTAACTATTCTATATAGTTTACTAGTAAAGACACTTCTAGTTACTCTTTTACACTTAGTAGAATTCTAGTGTATAATGTTACCTAGTATTTTAAAGCAGTTGCTTTACTTTATACAGTTCTTATTACTTAATATAATTAAGAATTCTAGCTATAAGCTAAAGTTCTTATTATTAGTAAATAATTTATTTGTAAAGATAAACAGCTTTGCATAATTAAGCTATAATAGTAGAAAGGTAAGACTACACTTACTATTATCTATCTACTATTAGATTTATGTGTTAAGTGTGTTAATATTGTTATATAAAGGGTCTATAGTTTATGCAGTAATAAAGAGGTTAAATGCTGCCTCTAGTTAACACATAAATGCAATGTATGCCTTTCTTACACATTACTTAACATATTATTGTGCAGCATCCTTGTTCTCTAGGTTAATTATATAAAAGTAGCTTACTTATCTCTTCTAAGTAAAAACTACTATGTTGTGCGTAAGTTTAATTCTTTTACTATTAAACTTAATAAGCTGCTTCTCTGCTAGAATAGTTTTACCTTTTATATAAAACTTTACTTTTTATAGTTTTTTTTTTTCTTTTTATATAAAATTTTTTATTATAATGCTTAAAGTGTTGTCTATTTATAGGCTAGTAATACTAAAAGTGTGCTCTTCTTTATTAGTAATTAAGAGGTAGAAGTTGTATAAAGAAATGTGCATGCGCAGCTTTTTTTTATAGTAGTTATAGTATGTCTTAAACTAATACAGTCCTTATTTAGCAGCTCTATATAAGAGTTATACAACCTAGAGTATTATATTTAGTAAAAAGCTCTAGCGCATCTTCTTTAGTAGCTTTATGTACAGTGTGCGCATAAGCTTATTTATTAATTAGATGTATACTTATATAATATTACATAGTTTAAAATGCATTCTATACATAGCTTTTAGGCTTACTTTTATAGCTAAAAGTAGTCTCTAGCTTATCCTCTAGATAGTTAGTAACTAGGTAAGAATTTCTCTCTTCTTTTTATCTAAGTAGCTAGTAAACACTAGGCAGAATTTTTTATATAGTTAAGTTATTTTGCCTTTTACTTTTTATATAAGGTAGAGGTTAAAAATCTAAC